TGCTGCATGAAGCAAAGCTTGGATCATCGCTTCCCTGGACATCAACATGGCTTTCTTAAAAGGACTGACCTATAGTGAGCTCGCCGCGGCAACGGGCGAGAAAGAGCGTGTGGTGTGCTTCACACTACCTCCTGGGTCAGCAGCTGTCCTTCGTACACTGCCAGGCTTTGAGTCATATGACGAATCAAAGCACTGTCTTCGGTGTCTGAAGCCGGGGACTGGCACGAAGGATGCTCCCAGGGCATTCTCGTTGAAGCTCAGGTCCATCACCTAGGAGCTTTGGACTACAGCCTACTTCATACGATGAAGAGTTCGAGATGAGCCCAAACCTCTTGACAGCCAAACACGTTGATGACATTAATATGACTGGGAAGGAAGATGCTATTGACAAGTATGTCAAGTGTGTTGAAGATACGTTTGGAAAGTGCAAACTGAACAAGCACCCATACACAAACTGTGCCGTTCGGTACAACAAGACCGATGATGGGAGCGTCACTCTCGATCAGGACGAATACATCAAACAGCTTCGTCCTATCACACATCCAGAACTCACAGGCGCTGATCCTGAGAGCAAAGCGACAAAGACGATTTCTGATATGTTCGTCAGTCTTCGCGGCGCTCTAGCCTATGCGTTGATTACGCAGGTATGGCTGATGGTCTATGTTGTCTCACTACAACGTATCCAGGAACCGACAAACATCCAGGTACGACGACTAAACGCGGTTACCAGGAAATTGCAGGCAGGTCCGAAGAAGATCGTGTATCAAGCTATGACTCCAACAGGAGAAGTCGACCTGCATAGCGACTCTGGCTATCGTCGTCTCAACGGAGATGAAGACGACGAAGTCAAAGGCTATGGTATCCGCGGGGCTAACCTGCTGAGGCGTGGCCACACGCAAGCGGGGAAACCCGTCGTGCACCTGGTGGACGCATACTGCAAGTCTCATCGACTGCAGGTGCGTTCGAGCTACTCTGCGGAAACACTGGCAGCAGCCCACAACTTGGAAGACTGCTACCCGACCATTGTAACGCTCCACGAGCTACACTCGGGACCATTGACCCCCACACAGTTAAAGAACATATTGGAAATGGGTGGTCTATGTATCAAAGTCACTCTGACTATTGATGCCGAGTCTGTCTTCAAGTCTTTGTCTAGCAAAGATCTGAAGAAGCCCACAGAATGTACTCTGCTTGGGCACATCAGCTGGATCCGCCAGATGATGGAGCGCGGAATCGTTGAAAGCGTTCAATGGTGTGACACGCGGGATATGACTGCCGATGGTCATACCAAAGGTAGTATTGACCGCGCGTTGCTCCTACAAGTAATGGCCGGCCAGCAATCCTTCAAGCACGAGCTGAAGAAACATACACCGTATAGGGCGGGCAGGTCGTCTCAAGACGGCCCTGCCTCCAGAGCTAGCGGGGAAACCCGCATGCAGGTGCGCTTCAGTAGCGAGGAAACTCGCCGGTAGCGAGGCTACTCGCGCGCCCCTACCTTGTAGGCAGCCACTGTTGCCTAGTACTGGCGCGCCCTTATCTTGTAGGCAGCCGCTGTTGCCTAGTGCTGGTTTTTCCGCGTAATGTAGTAATGCGGTGCTCGCTCGTCCCCTCCCCCTCCGACTTTAAACGGAGAAGGTTAAAGGCGAGATGTATATCGAGCATGCGCCGCTGCCGTGCCTGGCTCAAGCCGGGCCCGGCAAATAATATATGACTGTGCCTCACCGAGGCGCACTATTCGTATCTGAGATCGGAAAATACCTTTTCCATTGACGATGCCGATCCTATCCTTTACTCCAGATCCCATGCTTCGTCTTGCTCTCTTGCTCATGCGATATGAGCCAAAGCCTGGGATATGGGAGCGCCTAAGGCGGACCACATACCTAAGCTTACCAGTGCGATTTCGACTTCTGCGGCTTTGCCGCCGTCGCCGCCGCTGTCGTCGTCCTCGTCGTCGTCGCCATCGTCGCCGCGGTCGCTTCTGGGGGAGCTTTCCTCGTCGCCACGGCATGGACGCAGCCCTATGAGTGATGCGTTCGGACCCAGGCAGGGGTCGAGGGCTCCGTTTTGAGGAGCCTCCAGCCTCGAGCCCCTCTGGATCAATTGAAATGGTTCGCAACATTTGAGGATGCATGATCAGGCGTGCGGAACGCCCGGCCCGCCCGAGCAGCACGTTGGGTTGTGCGTCAGATGACATTGGATAGAAGTGGGAAGGATGGAGATCGATGAAAATGAGGAATAGTGGAGCCACGTCCCAGCCCGCGCGGTGGGTTTTTTCAATGGGCCAGCCGGCTTTGTCGGCAACGCGCTGGCCTCGAATGCAGTGCACGCCGCGCAGCGGGTTGTTCAAAGAGGCCGGCTTCGGGCGTCTCTTGTGCTTCGGCTGTGGCGCGCGGCGGGCGGAGCAAAAAGACGCGAGCGTGCGTCTCGCCGCTTGCTGCGGCAAGGGGAGTTGCGCACGGGGCGGCTTGCGGAACGGGACAAGGACTGGATCAGGACATGGGGGAGAGGAGGCACAGGAGGAGGAGAGGGAGAAGGAGGAAGAGGAGGAAGAGGAGGAGGAGGATGAGGAGGAGGAGTGCGAGGAGGAGTAGGAGGTGGGCGCGGAGGAGAACGACGAGAACACGAAGGCGGAGGAGGAGAAAGCGGAGTGGGCGGGATCCTGCGCGGAGGAGGAGTAGGAGGAGGAGGAGGAACATACAGATTGAGCCAGAACAGGAGAAGGGCGAAGAAGGACACGGTAGGATCATGTCTGGTGGAGGAGCCCGTGTTGAAGAGCTCCGAACCTGGAGGATCGAGCCTCGTGGATCGAAGTGCGAGGTGCTCTGGCCTTGCCGCCGTCGCCGGTGCTGTCGTCGTCCTCGTCGTCGTCGCCGTGGTGGCTCCTGGGGGAGCTTTCCTCGTCGCGCGGCATGGACGCATGTCGAATGATTGGTGCGTCCGGACCCGGGGAGGGGTCCACAGGCTCGTTTAGAGGGACCTGCAGGCTCGAGGATCGAGCGTCGAGGACCGAGGTTCGAGGCTCCATGGCTCACAGGGGAGCCCGGTCCATCGCCACGGCATGGACGCAGCTCCAAGAACTAGTGTGTTTGCAGCCCGGGATGACTCCCGGGGCTCTGTTGAGAAGTCTGAAGCCTCGAGGATCGAGCCTCGAGGATGGAGGTTCGAGGCTTTTGGCCTTGCCACCGTCGCCGCCGCCGTCGTCGTCCTCGTGGTCGTCGTCGCCGTGGTGGCCTTCGGGGGAACCCTCCTCATCGCCACGGCATGGACGCTGCTCCAGTGATTGGCGCGGTGGACCCCAGGGGGGGTCGAGGGCCCCGTATGCAGGAGCTTTGAACGTCGAGGATGGAGCCATGATGACCGAGGTTCGAGGCTCTTGGCCCGCGGCGGTCCCTCGTCGTCGCGACGGCACGGACGCAGCCCCAACAAATATTGCGTGTGGATCCAGGGAGAAGTCCACGCGCCTTTGTTGAGCAACCTCAAACCTCGAAGATCGAGCTTCGAGGATGGAGATTGGAGCTCTCTGGCCTTGGGGGGGGGGGCCCTCCACGTCGCCGCGGCATGGGCGGACGGAGGGGGGGGCAAGGATGATGCAGAACAGGAGGGCAAGAGAGGGTTGAACAACGGGGACTAACGGGCAGAGGTGCAATCGCGGATGGACAGAAAGGGAAGAGCGGAGAAACAGACGAGGAGCTAAGAAGGAGGGAGGCTGCTATTCATGGTTCGCCCGCGCTGCCAGGCTCAAGCCTTGAGTGCAGCTGCTCTTGACGGGCGCCGCCTCCGAGGGCCCCCTTGGGCCCGTCCCCTGGGCGCCATGTCCAGCAGGCCCGTGGCCAGAGGACATAGTAGACCCGATTCCTCGGAAGGAATCGGGGGTTTTACCGGTTGTACCTCAACAACCAAGGAGTTTACCGGTTGTCTCATGCACCCAGGTTCGGTCGCATTTCATGCGGCTGAGCCTGCTTGCCCGGCTTCGGCCGTGGCGGTGTACAACTGCGGGTTTACCGGTTTGTCCATAAAACCGCGGGTCTGCAGGAACCATACCCTGCATTGCGTCGCGCCTTCCGGGGCCGGCGCGTGGGATTGTCGGCGGGAGCGGCTGCAGATAGATTATTCTCCGTCCGGTAGAAGGGGGAAGCTCTCGCATTTTTTCGACTGCTGCGGCTTGCGCGGGGGCCAGCAATGGCACGTTCGCGTTCCCGCGCGGGCCTTCGGGTCCGCCGGCGTCAGGCCGGGCTTCCGGGAGGAGTGCGTCGTGGCGGGGTCCTCCGGGGCTCTGCCGCGGCGCTGCAGGAATCCGCGACCGAGTTCCTCTGCTCTTGTGTGGGCCAGAAGGTCGAATTCTCGCAATCAGCAGAATGAAAGAGGGAAGCTATCGCGATTCTGCGGCGACAGATCGTGGTATACGGACGCTGGAAGGGGGCGATTTCCGCGAAAGGTGTCCCAGGCTCGCTCGATGGACGGTGGAAGGGGGAGACTAGAGCCACATTTCCCCAAGGCTCGTCCTCTCGACGATAGATGGGGGAGACTATCGCGAATTGTTGCCCAGGCGCGTCCTTTCGACGATAGAAGGGGGAGACTACCGTGGATTTTCCCCCAACCCTCTCGTGTGGACATGAGAAAGTGGACGCTGGCGCCATGCTGCTCCGAAGCGCTCCCAAGGTACGAGCAAAGGGGAGGACTCCGCAGGCAGTGTCCACAGGAGCGACCCCTCGACGAGAGAAGGAGGGAAGCTACGCGATATTTCTCCCAGGCGCGCTCTCTGAATTGCAGGAATGGAGAGCATCCGCGAATGTTTTTCCAGACTCGCCCCTTGCACGATAGAATGGAAAGGCTATCGCGTTTTGCTTCGCAGGCGCGTTCTCTGCGCATTGCGGCGTCGGTGTCGGGCCGCGAAGCGCGACGGGTTGGAGGCGGTCGCACAGCCCGCGCGCGTCGTTCGCCGGGGATTGGCTTGAACTGTAAATCAGGCAGGCAACGCCGCAGAAGCCGCCCGAACACAGAAGGGGCGGAGACTGTTGGCCATGGGCTGCTGCGGGTAGCCGTCGCGTGGGCCATGTACGCGTCGCCTGTGTTTTGTACAGAAGCCCGCGTGTTGGCAGAGGACGTGGACACCCTGGGGCGCTTCGAGAACAAGTGTGTCCAAGTTGCAATAGCTAAGATGCGTCGAGGACGGTGGCGACGGGACGCTTTCAGAAGTTTCGAACGAAGTTGCGCCAATCACGTGGGCTCCGGAGAGAGCATGGGGGATCCTGACGCGAAACAAAACATGTTGGCTGCTGAGGCATGGCTGCGATGCCAACAGACGTACATCTGGGTGTACGAGGCGCACAGTGCGGCGCACATCATGCACAGGACTCCGCTCGTCAGATGGTCGCTGGGCGATGCGGACGGGCGTTGTGTTGGCGCGGCCGTGTGGTTCTCGGAAGGTCATCTGGTGCGCGTGGCTCGAGGATGGCGCGGCATGGACGGTGTGGAAGGAGTGCGCGAGGATGCTCCGTGGTTGCGGGTTGCTGCCGGTGGTCGCGATGTTGCGGGGCCACAGAGCATCGCCGCCTTGCAAGAGGTCAACGCAAGCGCGGGCGGAGAGGGCCAGCGCACCCGCGTGGACGCGGTAATGCCCGTGCTTCCAGGCCTGCGCAACCCCCAGTGGTATTGTTTCATGAACGCGCCACTGCAAGCGTTTTTCGCTCTCCCAGCAGGTCGGCAGGCGTTGCGCACTGTGCCGCGGGGCAGCCCTGCAGATTGGGCTGGATGGCATTTTGCGGAGCGCCACAGCGCAGAGCAGAGGTCTGGGAGGACGCCAGATTTTGACAGGCTGTTGGCGCAGACGATGTGGGAGATGGAGTGCAGTGGTGGGTCGAGACCTATCCTGCTAGACGCGATACCGCGCGTCTTCTATGATCGCACTCAGCAAGACGCTGGAGAGTTTTTGCAGGAAGTATTGAACGATGAGCGGGCGCCCGTTGTGAGTGAGCTGTTCCGGATGAAGAAAGTGGAACGACGCGTGTGCACGAGGGAGGGGTGTGGCGGCGCCACGGCGATCGCGGGGGACAGAGACTTGACGTGTTTGATGGTGCAAATTCCACGGGGAGACGGCGGTCGTGTGCGAACAGTGCAAGAGGTCGTGGACAGAAGCAGCGGCGGAGAGGTGATGGAAGCAGATTATAGGTGGTCGTGCCCCAAAGGATGCGGCTGCCGCGAAGCGAGAAAGGAGTGGCAGCTGACGCGGGCGCCGCAGTGTTTGTGGGTCCAACTGGTCGCGCAGGAATGCGATGCAGCGTCCGGGAGGGTGATGGAGGTTCCTCATGCGGTGGTGCCCAATCAGAAGCTGCGCCTCAGCGGGCACGAGTACACTCTGGTGAGCTGTGTGTCCCACCACGGCGCAGGGTTCCACACTGGCCACTACAACGCCTGCTGCCGGACATCGCATGGCGGCAGAACGCGGTGGGAGATGCGTGATGACGGCGAAGTATGGCGGAGCGTGGCGCCGTCTGACGCGCGTGGATGGAAGACTGCTGCCGACTCGTCGGTGCACATACTGATGTACGCGCGCGTGGCCGCGATCCCCGAGCCGGAGAGAGTGCGCCGGGCGGGGTCGGTTGTGGGTGGCGATGGTTTCAGTTCAGGGGCGGCGACGAACGCAGCGCGTTCGGGCTCGTCAAGCGTTGGTGAGGCAGCGGCATTGGAACGCGGCGGTGTCGAACTGGAGGGACGTTCGTCGGCGACGTCGGAGGAGAAGCGTCCTGGGGGGCCGGTCATGCAGGGCGTCGCCGCTCGGAAAGGTCGCGCTCCAGCGGTGCACATCCTGCCCTGTGATCTCGTGGCACCAGTGCGGGTCATCAGGGAGTCGGACATCCGCGCACTGCGTATGTTGCTGAGTCCGTGCGAGAAGCCGGATGCGTGGGACGTTCCCGGACTGGAGTTCATGCCGGGAGAGCTGCGCGCTCAACTATGGAAAGCGTGGGGCGACACGGAAGGTATCCTGCGAGTCATGCAAGAAACGTGGGTTCGTGCCTGGCAGGGATGGGAGGAGTCATGGGACGCTCTGGCAGGCGCCCCCGACGCAGAGGATAGGTGCCGCGTCGTGGAGGAACTGACGTGCCAGTTCATGGAATTTTTGATGGGGGAAGTAGTGTTCGAGGCGAAGACGGACGAGGAACGCGGAGCCGAGATGACGCGAGATGGCCGCTGTGTGGGCGCATCGCTTGCGCACGGGGTCAACGCTAGCCTAGCGGACAGTATATTCCAGCTTGTGTCGAACGCCGGGTGGTGTGGCCATGCCTTGGCGTCCGCTGAGGAGCGCCGCGGCGCATGTGAAGCGTGCCTGCGGTATTTGCGGAACGTCGAGGATGCGTGGTTGAATCTGGCATCGCACGGTGGAGAGCTAAGCGTTGCCGCTCATGCAGGCGAGATCGTGAGGTTTGCGTTGGCCCGCCAAGGCATGCACAGAGTAGCGCTGCCAGACCGAATTATCCTGCGCACGTGCTCCCGCTTTGACGGGCACGTCGGGCCACGCGGGGGGTATGACATGACGTTGTCCCGAGAGGAGATCCTGGGGGGCGGCCCGGTGCTGGGCCAATGGCCTCGTGAGGGCGATGTCACCGAGGAGGAAGGGGCAGTCGTCCTTGAAATATACAACGTGACAGGCGCCGACATCAGCAGTACCTGTTACAGACCAGTGTGGGCGCGCGCCGAGAAGGATTCCTTTGGGAAGGCGCCTTCCGAGGGGGCAGAAGAACCTCCGGAGGTGGCTGGGGCAGAGACAGGACAGCCCGAGAACGCAGGATTGCAGACGACGGGGAAACGAGCACGCTTAACGAGGGAAAGCGCGCCGGCCGAGCGGGGCGCCAGCGCCCAGACGTCGGTCTGTGAGAATGGAGGTGGGATGAGGCCGTCCGACCAGGGGGCGCCCCCTGCGCCTTCCCCGCACCCGGTAAGGCGGCCGGAGACGGCGCGCAATTCGGGCATGGCCAGCGCGGCCAAGGAGGGTGGAGTGTCGGAGGAAGTAGGGAGGTCCAGGACGGCGCGGCCGAGTAGCGCAGGGGCGGACGCGAGCGCGGGCGGTGCGGGCAGGAGCGGCACGGAGCAGAGCAAGGCCCTGGGGGTGGAGCACGAGTACACGGAGGCAGCGGGAGCAGCGCACGTGCACCGCGTCCGCGCCGTCGCGAACGGCCGCGTGTCCGCGGACGTCTGTCGCAGGGGCAGGGAAAAAGGTTTACGGGCTGCTGCAGAGCTTATGAAAAAGCACCCCACCGTGCCAGCGGTTTCCGTGCACGGAGCATCGTTGATGGACGACGACATTTTCTTACGAGGTGCCGTAGTACTGCCGCAAGCACACTGCGCTTTCAGCAGATGCGGGTGGAGGGGGTCCAGCAACGCGGAGCTCCAGGAGCATGTCGTAAGCAATCACGTGGGGGACCTACGGGACGTCGCGGAGGCGCTCGCGTGCAACGAAGAAGACGAGACGAGGCGAAGAGAGGCACAGTACTGGTCCGCGTATAACGAGGCCATTGCATGGAAAGTGCGAACGGGCGCGCCGCTTGCAGCACTGGCGATCGATCGTCGATGTCTGTTCGATTATGCGCGGAGTCTGCGCGAGGGTGCCGTCGACTCTCTGGTGTGCATGGTGTGCGCACGGAAGTTTCCGCACGTGGAAGGGCGCAGAGGGAACCCGATCGAATGGCGCGCGGTGAGTCCGAACGTGGACGGACTGTTCGGTCTGTCAGGCTCGTTTGTGAGGGAGCATATGTCGGTGGACGCGTACGTGGAGCGGTTCGGCAATGTGAGTGCCGACGGGGAGGGTAGCAGCGGTGGTCATCTCCGAGATCGAATGGAGGAGTTCAATGATTGGCAAGTGACAGTTTCATCAGAAGAGGGGCCCGTCAGCGTGCTCTGTTGCCCCGAGGACATGCGGTGCGGCAGTGGCACGTGGCACTCGGAGAACACGGCGTGCAAGTGTTGTGAAGCCCCGTTGTGTGGTGAGCGTAAGAACGCGATGGTGGGCCTTCGCGGCGAGGCGACGCTGCCCCCCGCGGCGCTGGCCAATGATATGATGGCTTTCTATTCGCCAGAAGAACTGTTCGGTAGCAAGGTGACGATATTGGAGATGATCTGCGCCTCAGTTTGCATCACATCAATGGTGTGCTTCACGCTGGAGAAACGATACCGAAAGGAGCGGTCTTTTGACATGGAAGTGGGTGCGAACGAGGTCCGCATGGCGGCCCGCGGAAACGCGACGTCGTTCCCGATGCCGCGGACGGACGTTCTAGCGCAGTTGGCTGCTGCTGAAGAGGCTGCCGAGGACGGGCACGCGCCGGCACTGCCCCGCACGGGCGCGGAGCTTGCAGGCATCGCGTCTGTGATCTTGAAGTCGGGCGGCGACGACGATACTGCTGCAAGCATGTCCACGTTCGTACACCAGGCTCTCGTGCGCAGGAAGGTGGTCGTGGATCTCATCGAGGGGGCGACGGCTCGCGGGCATCGCGCGTACCGGAACGTTGACATTGATGAGGTCCGGAGGAAGGCCATGGAGCTTCCGGAGGAAGGCGTGCCACCGGAGGTCATGCGGCTGGTACCCCTGGACGACGCCCTGGAGAATATCCAAATGCAGAAGGCGGCGACGCCCGTGCCGAGACCCGACGGGCTACGTGAGGCCGGAGAGATTTTGGAGACCACGAAGGCGAACGCTGTGGTGTGTGAGAAGAGCAGTTTCGACGAGGGAGACATCAATGCGCAGCGGATTGAGGCCGTGCGGACCTTCGTGCAACGGCTGGATGAGGAGTGCGCGCATGGCGGGGCCGACGACACGTCGAACTCCAGCGAGGACGAGGAAGGCGGCGGGAAGGCAGAACGGGCAGGTAAACGCGGTTGCGTCCGCGAGGGAGCGGCCTCGGGCGCGAATGAGGCGGCCCGAGAAGCAGTGGAGCGCGACATGCTGACTCAGGCCGGGCGCGAAAGGAAGCGCGTGGATCGGCTCCGCGTGCGCACTGGAAACGTTATGATGGATCAGTTCGAGCCCTGGTATTTCGGAGTCGCGTTCGCGTTCTTGTTTAAGTATTGCACGGGAATGCCAGACTGCCCAGAGTTCATGAAGCGCCCGCGCCACCGAAGGGGGAACGGGGCGCCGCGGGTGGAGCTGCCGCTGTGGGTGAGGATAATGAGTCGTCGCGTGGAGAGCCAGATTTCCCGCGACTGGCACTTCGGATTCGTGTCGTGGAACCTTGTGTTTCGATCGGCCGTGAACCTGAGCAGGACGTGGTTCACGTATGTGTCCGCGAACGCATCAGGCGAGGTCGAACAGCTCACTCCCGCGGAAATCGCGGAAGGAGCGAAGCAGATTTATCGCGCGCTCGACGGGAAGTACGTAGACGTCAACAATAGGAAACAGAAAGTAAACGGCGACATGACCAAAGTGCGGCACGTGCCAACGTTGGGGAAAGCCGCCCATAAGCTGCTGACGCACATAGAGCACACTTCGCGGCGACTGTCTGGGACGCAGGAAGCGCGTCGAGTCATGCGATTTGAGACGAACGCGCTGCGAGTGCGGTACGGCGTCCCCATATTCGTAACCTTCTCGCCCGACGAAGGTCACCATCTGCTCATGGTGAGACTCTCGCGCACTCGACGGCAGGACCCCTTGCACAAGGCAGCGGATGATGAAGCGCATTCGCGGCTGGCGGGGGGTCGGGGCTGGCCGCGCGTAGCCCCCGACATGGACGGGCTGCAGATGGACCTGCCAATGGCCACGGGGGAGGCAGGAGTGCCGCCATGGAACGAGCGCAGACGAACTCTTGCGAGAGATCCCATGGCCAGCGTGGACGGCTTCCGTATCCTGGTGGACGCCACGCTCCGTCACTTGTTCGGCGTGCGGACCTGTCCGAACTGCCCGCGGTGCAACGAGGCGGAGAACGGGGCACCTTGCCAGGACCTGTTCGGGAGTAATGCGGAGCCCGGTGGGGGCGCGTTTGGGCGCGTCGATGCGTACTACGTGTCGATCGAAGCGCAGAAGTCCACGGGGTCTCTCCACGCGCACTGCCAGGTATTCATCCAGTGCCTGCACCAGCACACACCGCTGGAGGAGGTATCCGAAATCGTCCGCGACGAGGTGGAAGGCCGTGGAAGGGAGATCGTGGAGGATTATTTGAAGTATAAGAGTCGCGTGTGCCGCCAGGTTTATTCGGAGCAGATGACATCGGAGGAGATTAGTGGTAAGTTGGATGAGGCAGAGAAATCGTGGCCGGAGTTCAAGAACGAGCGCGGTCTCATTTGCAGGCCCGCGTTCCAGTGTCGCACACTGGAACCAGAAGCAACGGAGAAGGAGGCAGCAGACGACGCTGTGGCATGGGAGAAAGCGTACCTGGACGAAGACGTGCAGTACCTGCAGGAGAGGAAGCAGAACCACGTGCATTTGAAGAACGAGGAGACTGGGGAGCGAGTACCCCTGCCGGCGTGCCGCCGGAAGGACAACCCGAAGCTGTGTAAGGCGGACTTCCCGCGGACGTCGCAGCTCATTGACCGCGCCATCGTCGTTTGTCCAGGGCAGGCGGCAGCGTTGGACATGCCAAAGGCAGGGCGACGCAATCGGACGGGAAGCCTGCACGGGCCAATGAATCACGCGAGTCTGAACGGCACGCATCCATGCATGTTGTCCGCGCAACGTTTCAATTCGGACGTGCAGTTGCCGTATCGGTTCCCCATCACAGATGTTTGTTGTACGTGCGGGAAAGCGTGCGATAAGAAGCTCAACGACGCAGCGATCATCAAGGTCGCGCAGATGGCACAGGACGCACAAGCAGGGTACGCCTGCGACTACTGCACGAAGCGCCAACCCATGGTTTTTCACGAAGTGAAGGAGTGCTGCAAGGGAGTAGAGAAACTTAACAGGCAGCTGCAGGGCGAGAATTCGAATCGGATCGGGAAGAGAGTAGCGAACCGAATCATGAGCGACGCGCACGGCAAGGGCATCGTGCGGGGGCCAGTTGAGTGTGCGAACCTGAGGGCGTTCGCGAGGGAGGACGACGTCACTGCGGCGGAATCACTGAAGTCGTGCCAGACCACAGCCTTTTATGGACGCGAGTACGTGGACTTGGTCGAGCGCCTGGCAGACCGCACGCCAGGCGGGCGCAAAGCGCAGTTTGCTGAAGTGGACATGCGGCAGAGGAGACGCAGAAAGGTGACCTTCCGAGACGTGGCCATGTTGTATGGACTGCGGCCGAACGTGCCCGACCTGTGGCACTTGTCGCCGTACGAGTTTGCGACGTTCTGGACGCCGGTGTTGGTGTCGTTCCCCACGAGAGTCGGGGATGCGGACCATCCCCGGCATCACGCTGTTTTGACGCAGAAGGGCATGGAAAAGGTGCGCGAGAATTGTAAGAACCCGAGATGGGAGCAGGACCTGGAACCTGGGGAGGACTACATGGTGAAGGAAGGAGGAGGCGTCGACTGGGTGCCTTATCCAGAGACAGACGGGTGCGCCCACCTTCGTCACACGTGGGTGCTCAAGCGGAACAAGAGACCCAAGGCACCAACCTTTTTCGGAGCGCCCGTGCCACGCGGACGTCCTGGAGAAGCGGAGCGATCTGCGCGCATTGTCATGACGTACTTCCACCCGTGGACGTTGAGGCCCGACGCGGCCGACGCGCACGCCGTGTTCGCAGGGAGCCTGCGCGGCGACGCGCCGACGTGGGACGCGGCCATGGTTTCGTGGCTGGACGGCGGGGTGCAGACGCAGGAAGCCGCGCGGTACGTGGGCAACTTCTTGAGTGTGTACCGCGTCCGGCCACGAGACACTGAAGGAGCGGGGGATGGGACCGACGAAGACGTGAGCGACGAGGAGTTGGACGTGGGCTTCGATCAGCTCGACGAGGCGCTGAAATCCCGCGTGGGCGGGAAGAGGCGCAAGGACGGCGACGGAGACAGCAGCAGCGAGGAGGACGACGCAGACCCCGGGCAGGGGGCCGGAGGCGTCTCCCACTACGAAAATTCGAAAGGGGGCATGAGCGTCGCGCAACAGGTGTGGGGGCTCCGCGATGGCGAAACGCCGTTGAGCGAGATTCCGGGTGCATGGCCCGCAGAGGAGCCCTGCGACGTTGAGCAGGTACTCAGAGAGGCGCGGAAGTCTCGGAACAAGGAGCATTCCATGGCGGACCGACTGGCGGAGGCTGACGGCGCAGTTATCGTCGCTGGCCAGGCCGCGACATCGGAGGACGTTGCCGCGTGGCTCAGGGACCTAGAGGTCCGGGTGGACAAGCAGACGGGGCGGCGTGTTGTGAACGCGGAGCAGTTCGAGATGGTGAAGCAGGTGGCGAATCGAGTAATGCGCGAGATAGACGGCGAGGAAAGTGAGGACGGCAGCATGGGTGAGCCGCTGCAGTGGTGCATGCACGGGGGCCCTGGGACCGGCAAGTCGCACGTGCTTCGCATTATTCGTCATGAGCTGTTCGAGAAGGTGATGAAATGGTCAATCGGAGTGCACTTCCAGATAACCGCCTTGCAGGCCGTCATGGCTCAGCTGCTGGGAGGCGACACCATCCACCATGCGTGTGGCATTCCGGCCATCAAGCGGGGGGAAGAGAAAGGGGGGGAAGACGTGAAGTTGCAGTACGAGACTGCGAAGCGACTGCTCCAGTGGAGGTGGCTCTTCATCGATGAGATAAGCATGGTGAGCGCTAGACTGCTAGCAGAAGTGGACGCGAAACTTCGCGGGGTCATTCGGGACGTGGGCACGACGAAACTCAGCGACGATGGCGTTCCACGTCCGTTCGGCGGCCTGAACGTCGTGCTGAGTGGAGATTTCTGGCAGCTGGCCCCCCCTGACGGAGGCTTCCTCGCCGACGTCCCCACGGAGCGGATTTCGGCTGCGCGCAAGTACACTTCGCTGCCACCCGTGTTGCACGGGCAATCGCTACTGTGGGGCGGGGCCGAGTGTGGGATTCAGGGCGTGACAGAGCTGGAAGAGTGCGAGCGATGCGACGACGCCTGGTTGAAGGAGGTGCAGGAGGAATTCCGAAGAGGGTCGCTGTCGGCGGATGCGCACGCATTCTTGCACGGCCGGCATACGACCGTTCCTGGGAGCTGGTTGGGGGGGGACGTATGCTGCGGGAATCGGGCGTGTCGGGAATTGTGCAGTGGCGGAAGGGACGCAGCGTCGTCAAGCGCGGGGCAACGACGGAAACGCCCCGCGACGCCGAAAGAGATCCGCGAGCAGGAGTGCAAGGTGTGCAGAGCGGAACGCGCACGCCGCAAGCTCGTGGTGGATGGACCCGACGACCCGCGTCTGCAGTCAGACAAGTTCCTCGTGGCGCCGGGTGTGTTCCCAAACAACGACGTGAAGTACGAAGCGAACAAGCTCCGTGCGTCCCAGTACGCACGCAAGCACAGGAAGCCGATGGTGTACGTCCCTGCGCGAGATACGCCAACGCCAGAGGCGCTGCGGGAGCGGCCGGATCTGCCGCAGCAGAGGATGGCATGGCTTCAACGCCACGACAAGGAGAGCGGGGACTTGTACGGCTTCTTGCCCATCGCTGAAGGCATGCCCGTCGCTCTGACCGATCATATCGATCGAAGCGAGGATAAAAACTTGCTGCGCGGTCGCGTGGGCCGGGTGCAATCCTGGGTATGCGACGGGGACGGCGTCGATGATCGAGTCACGCGCGGCGGGGAGACCATATTGAAGAAGACTCCAAAAGTGATTTTCGTGTTGTTCGACGAAGGCGATGACGGGAACGGCGGCAGGAAGCCATGCCAGTGGACGATCGAGGGATTGAAGACGCCCGGCTTGTACCCCGTGATTCCGCAGAAGAAGGATTGGTTCGTGGACAAGGGCCGTCCGCATCCGCGACTGAAGGTCAAAAGACGGCAGTTCCCGCTGGCTCCGGCCTTCGGAGTGACGGCTCATGCGGCGCAGGGGCAGACGTTCAAGCAAGGTGTCATAGTGGACCTGAGCATCGGCGGGGGCACGTCACCTCTGTCGAGCTACGTGGCACTGACGCGGGTGCAGCGCCGCGAGGACATGCTGATCTTTCGCCCTTTCGATATTGCGCCGTATCAGAAGAAGGACGAACGGAAGGGCCCGGACTTACTGCTGCGCACGTTGCGCGGAGAAGAATTGGACTGGGAGGCGATAGAGCGGGTGTTCATGCCGTCTGGCAGGTGCGCGGTCTGCGGGTGCACGAAGTACAAGAACATGTACCCAACGGTCGGGCAGTGGAGCCGCGCAGATGGGCTCCGCGTGTGCAGCGTGTGTCTGGAAGAGAAGAAGAGGTCTGGCACGCCATGGCAATGCATGGAGTGTGGTCTATGGAAGAGCCAGGAGGCGTTCCACGCGTCGCAGCACCACCCGTCGAAGTTGACCACGCGGCGCTGCGTGGACTGCCCCGAGAGGCGGAAGTGTTACGTATGCGAGGTGCGGAAGTACGAGGATGCGTTCGTGGAGTTGCAATGGGAGAAGGCAGGGAACGCCCGATGTAAAGGAGGAATGTGCCTCGAGTGCGAGGAGCCCAAGCGGCACTTGAAGTGTTCACGCTGCGGCCAGGAGCTGTTGCGGGTCGAATTTTCTAGAGCGGAGCAGTGCATGGACGAACCGACATGCAAGTCGTGTAAGGCGTCGCAGAGAAAGGAGGAGAAGGCGCAGGCGGAGGCAGAACAACGGGCAGTATGCTCGAAGTGCGGTGAGTCGAAGACGAAGGCAGAGTTTTCCAGGTACACTCTGGACCACGCGGACGGAGCGTCGGTAGTATGTACCACGTGCGTGGACGCCGCGGCTGCAGAGCGGGACGCGCAATCAAGGAAGTATTTGAAGACGTGCGCGAGGTGCGGGAAACGTCAGCGGCGCGAGTTCTTTTCGGGTCGCATGTGGGCCAACGTGGCTGATCAGGACCGCAAGTGCATGCGTTGCGTCGAGGAGGCGAGGGTGCAGCGCGGATGTTGGAAATGCATAGGCTGCAAGGACGTGTTCCCGAAAGTGGATTTCTGCCGCTGGCTGGCCAAGCGGACGACGAAAAAATCAGATGGGAAGCAACGCTGCAACCAGTGCTTCGAAAACGAAGAGCGTAAGAGGAAGGAGGTCGCCGATCGGAGTTGGGAATCGGTGACGAAGAAAGCAAGGTCGCAGTAGCGATGACGCGGCGGGGCGTTGCAGAATGTCGCTCGTTGCGGGTCCCCTGCGCGGTCCCAGGAATTGAGTCTCCATGGGGTAGGGGTGTCGGGGCGTCGTGGGGGCGTGGTGGGGGCGTGGTGGGGGGCGTGGGTTGGTTGTGGGGCGACAATTGGTGGGGTGGGGGGCCCCAAGAACAGAGGCTCCATGGGGTGGGGATGCCGGGGCGTGGTGGAGGGTATCGGTCGGTTTTGGGCGACAAATGGTGGGGTGGGGCCCCAAGAACAGAGGCTCCATGGGGTGGGGATGCCGGGGCGTGGTGGGGGGCATCGGTCGGTTTTTGGCGAAAAGGTGGGGTGGGGGGTCCCAAGGAAAGAGGCTCCATGGGGGGCATGCCGGGAGTGGTGGGGGGCATCGGTCGGTTGTGGGCGAAAAATGGTGGGGTGGGAGGCCCCAAGAACAGAGGCTCCATGGGGTGGGGGTGCCGGGCGTGGTGGAGGGCATCGGTCGGTTTTGGGCGAAAAATGGCGGGGTGGGGGCTCTCCAAGAACAGAGCTCCATGGGTGGGGATGCCGGAGCGTGGTGGGGGGCATCGGTCGGTTTTGGGCGAAAATGGTGGGGTGGGGGGCCCCAAGAACAGAGGCTCCATGATGGGGGATGCCGGGGCGTGGTGGAGGGTATCGATCGATTTTGAAAGAAAAATGATGGGGTGGAGGGGCCCAAGAGCAGAGGCTCCATGGGGTGGGGATGCCGGGGCGAAAAATGGTAGGTGGGGGCCCCAGAACATAGGCCTGCCATGGAGATGGGATGCGGGGCGAGGTGGGGGTATCGTTGGTTTTTGGGCGAAAATTTGTGGGTGGTGGCCCGAAGAAACGACGCTCCATGGGGTGAGGATGCCGGGGCGTGGTGGTGGGTATCGGTCGGTTTTGGACGAAAAATGGTGGGGTGGGGGGCCCCACGAACAGAAGCTCCATGAGGTGGGGATGCCGGGGCGTGGTGGGGGGCATCGGTCGGTTTTGGGCGACAAATGGTGGCGTGGGAGGCCCCAAGAACAGAGGCTCCATGGGGTGAATGCCGGGGCGTGGTGGGGGGTATCGGTCGGTTTGGGGCGAAAAAAGGTGGAGTGGGGGGCCCCAAGAACAGAGGCTCCATGGGGTGGGAATGCCGGGGCGTGGTGGGTGGTATCGGTCGGTTTTGGGCGAAAAATGGTGGGGTGGGGGGCCGCAAGAACAGAGGCTCCATGGGGTGGGGATGCCGGGGCGTGGTGGGGGGCATCGGTCGGTTTTGGGCGAATAATGGCGGGGTGGGGAGCTCCAAGAACAGAGGCTCCATGGGGTGGGGATGCCGGGGCGTGGTGGGGGGTATCGGTCGGTTTTGGGCGACAAATGGTGGGGTGGGGGGCTCCAAGAATAGAGGCTCCATGGGGTGGAGATGCCGGGGCGTGGTGGGGGGTATCGGTCAGTTTTGGGCGAAGAATGGTGGAGTGGGGGGCTCCAAGAATAGAGGCTCCATGGGGTGGGGATGCCGGGGCGTGGTGGGGGGTATCGGTGGGTTTTGGGCGAAAAATGGTGGGGTGGGAGGCCCCAAGAACAGAGGCTCCATGGGGTGGGGATGCCGGGGCGTGGTGGAGGGTATCGGTCGATTTTGGGCGAAAAATGGCGGGGTGGGGGGCTCCAAGAACAGAGGCTCCATGGGGTGGGGATGCCGGGGCGTGGTGGGGGGTATCGGTCGGTTTTGGGCGAAGTTCCCGCTGGCTCCGGCCTTCGGAGTGACGGCTCATGCGGCGCAGGGGCAGACGTTCAAGCAAGGTGTCATAGTGGACCTGAACATCGGCGGGGGCACGTCACCTCTGTCGAGCTACGTGGCACTGACGCGGGCGCAGCGCCGCGAGGACATGCTGATCTTTCGCCCTTTCGATATTGCGCCGTATCAGAAGAAGGACGAACGGAAGGGCCCGGACTTACTGCTGCGCACGTTGCGCGGAGAAGAATTGGACTGGGAGGCGATAGAGCGGGAGTTCATGCCGTCTGGCAGGTGCGCGGTCTGCGGGTGCACGAAGTACAAGAACATGTACCCAACGGTCGGGCAGTGGAGCCGCGCAGATGGGCTCCGCGTGTGCAGCGTGTGTCTGGAAGAGAAGAAGAGGTCTGGCACGCCATGGCAATGCATGGAGTGTGGTCTATGGAAGAGCCAGGAGGCGTTCCACGCGTCGCAGCACCACCCGTCGAAGTTGACCACGCGGCGCTGCGTGGACTGCCCCGAGAGGCGGAAGTGTTACGTATGCGAGGTGCGGAAGTACGAGGATGCGTTCGTGGAGTTGCAATGGGAGAAGGCAGGGAACGCCCGATGTAAAGGAGGAATGTGCCTCGAGTGCGAGGAGCCCAAGCGGCACTTGAAGTGTTCACGCTGCGGCCAGGAGCTGTTGCGGGTCGAATTTTCTAGAGCGGAGCAGTGCATGGACGAACCGACATGCAAGTCGTGTAAGGCGTCGCAGAGAAAGGAGGAGAAGGCGCAGGCGGAGGCAGAAAAACGGGCAGTATGCTCGAAGTGCGGTGAGTCGAAGACGAAGGCAGAGTTTTCCAGGTACACTCTGGACCACGCGGACGGAGCGTCGGTAGTATGTACCACGTGCGTGGACGCCGCGGCTGCAGAGCGGGACGCGCAATCAAGGAAGTATTTGAAGACGTGCGCGAGGTGCGGGAAACGTCAGCGGCGCGAGTTCTTTTCGGGTCGCATGTGGGCCAACGTGGCTGATCAGGACCGCAAGTGCATGCGTTGCGTCGAGGAGGCGAGGGTGCAGCGCGGATGTTGGAAACGCATAGGCTGCAAGGACGTGTTCCCGAAAGTGGATTTCTGCCGCTGGCTGGCCAAGCGGACGACGAAAAAATCAGATGGGAAGCAACGCTGCAACCAGTGCTTCGAAAACGAAGAGCGTAAGAGGAAGGAGGTCGCCGATCGGAGTTGGGAATCGGTGACGAAGAAAGCAAGGTCGCAGTAGCGATGACGCGGCGGGGCGTTGCAGAATGTCGCTCGTTGCGGGTCCCCTGCGCGGTCCCAGGAACTGAGTCTCCATGGGGTAGGGGTGTCGGGGCGTCGTGGGGGCGTGGTGGGCGTGGTGGGGTGTATCGGTTG